CACACCAGGAGCTGCCACCAGCAGCACTGGGAGGATTGATGTCACTCACCTCACCCGAGGTGTAATTAATCATTAATTAATAACTGACCCACTGGGGTCCCTTGGGCCGTGTCACCCCCAGGGACCCTCTGGCTCCTGGGCCAGGATCTGAGCTGGGACTGTGCGAGGGGACAGCTCTGGGACCCCCAAAAATGGGGCTGGGGAGGGACCCGCTGGTCACAGCCGAGCGTCACCAGGACACGATGGTCACCAGTGCCGGGGGAAGAGAATCTCCGATCACACTGCCATTGCCAGGCAGATTAATTAACGTCTCATTAATTAATTCCCCGCCTGTCGTGGTCACCCAGAGCAGCTCGGGCCGGTCCTGTGGGTGGGGACAGGGGAGGACGGGGACAAGGAGACGCTGAAAGGGAGGGACAGTGAAGGGGGGACAGTGACGGGGGGGCTGTGATGGGGGGACAGTGACGGGGGGACAGTGATGGGGGACAGTGACAGGGGGACAGTGACGGGGGGACAGTGACAGGGGGGCTGTGATGGGGGGACAGTGACGGGGGGGACAGTGACGGGGGGGACAGTGACGGGGGGGACAGTGACGGGGGTGACAGTGACGGGGGGGACAGCGACGGGGGGACAGTGATGGGGGGACAGTGACGGGGGGGACAGTGACGGGGGGACAGTGACTGGGGGACAGTGACTGGGGGACAGTGATGGGGGGACAATGATGGGGGGACAGTGACGGGGGGACAGTGAAGGGGGGACAGTGACGGGGGGGACAGTGACGGGGGGGACAGTGACGGGGGGACAGTGATGGGGTGACAGTGATGGGGGGACAGTGACGGGGGGACAGCGACGGGGGGACAGTGATGGGGGGACAGTGACGGGGGGGACAGTGACGGGGGGACAGTGACTGGGGGACAGTGATGGGGGGACAGTGACGGGGGGACAGTGATGGGGGGACAGTGACGGGGGGGGACAGTGATGGGGGACAGTGATGGGGGGACAGTGACGGGGGGGCTGTAGTGAGGGGACAGTGACGGGGGGGACAGTGACGGGGGGACAGTGACGAGGTGACGCGCGGCTCTGCAGGGACAGTGGCTTTGTCTCCTTTCCAAAGGGCCGATCGGGGTGGGGGGTGGCAGAAGGGAGGGGAGACACATCCAGATGCAGAGGAGGAGCCGGGGGGCCCGGTGAGGACCCTTTCCCCCTCTTCCCCTCCCTCCTGCGCCCACCTTGAGCCCCTCTCACCCCCCTTCCAGAGGCCGGGCTCCCGCACCCCCGGCCCCCCAATTCACAGACACCTCCCCCCCCACCGATGCCCTTCATCCCCCTTGGCACCCCCATTGCAGATTCCTCCCCTCCCTCCCCTCTCCCTCCCCTCGGTCGGAAATGCCGCAGTGAAGCAGCCGCGGAGCATCCTCCGGCCGCCCCGGGGGCACCGGGCATCCCCCGCCGCCCCACCTGGTAGCTGAGGATGCCATCGGGCTCGTTGCTGCCGGCGGGCATGGCTGGGGGCCCGGGCACCCCCCCGGGGTGGGGGCCAGGGGGGGCCGGTGCCGCTCACTCCGGCTCCAGCATCGCCCGGTGCCGGGGCCAAACCCCGCCCAGGCCGCCGGGAGGAGGAGGAGGATGAGGAGGAGGAGGAGGAGGAGGAGGAGGAGGAGGAAGAGCCGGGGGGGGCGATGCCCGGCGGGTTTCCTGCGGCCGCGCCCCGGCAGCACCCCCGGCCCCAGCCCCGATTCGCTCCAGCATCGCTCGGAGCCCTCCGAAACCTCCCCAGGATCGTCCTGCTGCCCCCCGGCATCACCCCCATCCTCCCTCCCACCCCAGCCCCCCCATTCCCTTCAGCATTCCGTGCCCCCTCCAGAACTGCCCCTCCCCAGGATCCTCCTGATCGCCGCCGGCATCACCCCAATTCCCCTCTCACCCCATCCCCCAGGCATCACCCCGATTCCCCTCACCCCATCCCCCAGGCATCACCCCAATTCTCCCCTCACCCCATCCCCCAGGCATCACCCCAGTTCCCTTAACCCATCCCCCCGGCATCACCCCGATTCCCCTCCCACCCCATCCCCCCGGCATCACGCCCTCGGTGCCCCCCAGCACCATCCTGAGCCCTCAGACATCATCCTGATCCCCCCCAGTACCATCCTGAGCCCCCCCAGCACCATCCTGAGCCCCCCCAGCACCATCCTGAGCCCCCCCAGCACCATCCTGGTACCCCCCAGCACCATCCTGAGCCCCCCAGCACCATCCTGGTACCCCCCAACACCATCCTGATCCCCCCCAGCACCATCCTGAGCCCCCCAGCACCATCCTGAGCCCCCCAACACCATCCTGGTACCCCCCAGCACCATCCTGAGCCCCCCCAGCACCATCCTGGTACCCCCCAGCACCATCCTGGTACCCCGCAGCACCATCCTGGCACCCCCCAGCAGCATCCTGATCCCCCCCAGACATCATCCTGACCCCCCAACACCATCCTGAGCCCCCCAGCACCGTCCTGGTACCCCCCAGACATCATCCTGGTACCCCCCAGACATCATCCTGGTACCCCCCAACACCATCCTGAGCCCCCCAGCACCATCCTGAGCCCCCCCAGCACCATCCTGAGCCCCCCAGATATCATCCTGGTACCCCCCAGCACCATCCTGGTATCCCCCAGCACCATCCTGGTACCCCCCAACACCATCCTGGTACCCCCAGCACCATCCTGGTATCCCCCAGCACCATCCTGGTACCCCCCAGCACCATCCTGGTACCCTCCAAGACCATCCTGGTACCCCCAGCATCTCCCCAACTCTGCTTCTCACTGTCCCTTGATCCCCTCAACCTTCCCCCTCAGATCCCCCCCAGTGTCACCCCCCAAGCCCCTCAAAGCCCCCAGCCCCTCCCCATCAACTCCCCTCCACCATCCCTCCCTTCAACATCGTCCTGACCCCCCCCAGGGTCATCCTGACCCCCCCAGACCCACCTTGTTCCTCCCCAACACCATCCTGACCCCCCAACACCATCCTGACCCCCCCAGCTCACTCCCATCCCCTCGGGAATCTCCCAAATGCCATCCCCTCCCCCTCAGCCCCCATGTCCCTCCACCTCCCACCCCCTTTTCCCCCAGCTGAGGCCAAACCCAGCCCTTTGCTCCCCAAAAATCCCCTTGTCCCAGCAGGAAAGGTTCAGAAATTTGGGAGGGCTGAACTGTCACCTACAACTCTTCCAAAAACACCCCTTGGAAGTCTCTGACTTCCTTGGAAATGCACTTTTTTAATCTCATTTTCCAGTCTCTGCCTCCTCCAGCCCGTGTCCAAACACAGCAGGCGCACGGAACATTTCCCTTCCCTTAATGAGGGATGAAAATTGAGGGGTAGTTATTAATTAACAGAGGCATTAATGACTTCCCATCCTTGCTGGTGGCACAGATGAGCTCCTGCTGCAGACGAGGGGAGAGATGATCCCCCCATCCCTCATTTCCAGTGGCAGCTCCCAGAAGATTTGGGACAACCACAGCAGTCAGAGAGTTTTTCCTTAGAGAAATGCTGTTTCTGGGCAGGAAATTTCCCTTTTTCCTCACTCTCCCATTAGAGGGATGAAATCCCAGCCTGCCCCACCCTCATTTCTTTTGTCTCCTCTGAAAATGTGGCCCCAGAGGAGTTGGATGTTGGAATTTTGGGGTTCTTGGGCACAGATTAGTGCCCAGGGCTTGGTGTCAGGACATCCCAGCACCCAGGCAGCCTCTTCCCCCTCCTGCAGCCCAGACCCTGAATTAGAAACCCTCAAAAATCAATATTTCCCACCCAAAATCCCATTTTTGTTGCCGTGGTTTCCCCAGGAGCACCATCACCATCTCCATCTCTGCTTGGAGAACAGGAGTGGGGCACCCTCAGCCCCAGTTCTCCTGGCACAGCTTCACCCACTCCTGATTTTCCATCTGCCCTCACCCAGCTCCTGCTTTTCCCAAAACAACTCCCACCCACCTGGAGCCCAGCCTGGCCCCAGCAGCCACAGCCCACCCACGGGTGCCACCAGCACCCTGCAATTAAAGTTATTTCGGAGCCAGAGCCACCCTCCTGCCCCGGGGAGGCTCCAAAAGGGACGTTTTGTGTCCCTGGGGACATCTGGGGGGGTGAATCACTAAAAATGTCCTTGGGAGAGGCCACTTGGAGCTTCCACTGCCATGTCCCCTCATGGCTCATGGAGGAGCAGCTCAAAATTCCTTCGTGGATGGTCCCAGGGGGATTTTCCACGGAGTTTTGGGCACAGCCCCACAAAGGAGCTTTGACTGATAAAAACCATCTGTGCTCCTGCTTTGGGAATTCCATTTTCCAGGTGAGGAGAGCCCAGATGGATTCCTCCTCCTGACCAGCTCATTTGGTGCCAATCCATGAGAATATATTGATGGGGTCCTTGCTCCAGGTTTGGGGCTGCAGCTTCCAGGAATTCACCTGGGAAATGAGGGGTTTTCCCCTAAGAAGAGCATAAAACCCTCAAATAATTATCAAATAATCTCAATTAATTTGAGGAGCCGCAGGATGAAACTTGGAGCAGGAGATGGTGGTGGGAAAGTTCATTGTGGTGTGGAGAAAAGCTGGAGAAAACCCCAAGAAAACCTTGAGAAAACCCAAGAAAACCTTGAGAAAACCCCAAGAAAACTGATTTTCAGTGAAATAAAGGCCCTGGTTCTACCCAGGGCTGGAAGAAGCTCCAATATCCACATGGATGGAGAATCCAAGGTCAAAGCTGCTGAAGCAAAGAAAGAAGTTGTGGGATTTGGGGAGATGGTTCCTGGGGACGCACAGAAGTTTGTCATGAGTAAATCCATTAACGTGGCTCTGTTCTGGGGAAGAAATTTCACTCCTGACTTTTCCATGCTGCCAAGGAGGAGATGTTGGATCTGGAGATCCCAATTCTTCCTGATGCCTGGAGTCACAGGAGAACTTGGCTCTTCATTTCAACACAAGTTCCCTCAAACAAGAGATGCCAAATCCACTTTGGGAGAAACTTGCAAAATAGAAAAGCCTGAGATGAGATTTTTCCAAAAGAAAAGAATAGTTTGGAGCTGATGCTTTGTGCCTCAGTTTCCCCACTTTGGGAAACACCTTGGATACCACTGATGGAAATGCTATAAACACTCGAATTACTGTTAATGAATTAAAATAATCCTTAGTGACCCCAAAAACCTTGAGATTCTCCTGCCCAACCTTCCAAACTCCCAGCAAAAGCCGACGTGCCTCCCCAGGCATCCCTAACCATGTATGGAATATTTTGGCAGATTTTGAGGAATTCCCTTTTCCCAGGAGCTGCAGCTCCCCCTCACTCCTCCAGAGCCAGGGATGGGATCGGCTTTGATATCCACAGGGATCAATAACCCAAAGCACACCTGGGGTGATCCAAAGCTGGGACCACATTCCCAGAGAATCAAGGAAAACGGGGAATGTGGGAACTGCTCCCAGTCCCAGGATCCCGGAATCCTCCTCCGCCGTGGAGCCCCCGAGGCCATCGAGTCCAACTCAGGAATGTCCAGAGTCTGTCCCGTGGCTCAAGGTGCAAATCCATGGATTTCCCATTGGGAAGACGAGTCCTAGTCCAGATGGAGCAAAACGTGGCTCAGATATTCCGCGTGTCCCGAGGGGAGAATCTCCTGGCACAGCTCACAGCCCTCAGCAGCCTCAGCTCTGCTCCGCTCCTCCAGCGCCCAGCCCGGCGTCCAGCAGCTCTGAAAAGGGGAAAAGGGGGTTTGGGGACAGGGAGACCACCAGGGCCACCCCCAGACCCTGCCCTGGGATTGTCCTGGGGAGGTGTGAGACAGCTCAGAGCAAAGAATAGAAATTAAGAATATTCTTATCCTCACCTGCTGCTGTGCACATGTGGAATGTGTCATGGAGATGTGTTCACCAAAGGGTGATTCCTTAATTGGCCAAGGGTGGTGGGGTTTGGATTTTAATTGGATTTCAATTAACCAATCTGGTCTGTATGGGACACCTCATCCGCCGTAAAACAGTTAATATTCCAGCTAATATCCCAATAATCCCGATTAATCCTCACTCTACTCTGTAAGGGTGAGGTGTGGTATAGTACAGCAGAGTACAGACAATAAAGTGATGGAAAATTGTCTTTGAGCAGCAAACTGGAGCACATTTGTCACCTGTCCCTGTGCCGTTGTCATTTGAGTGCTGACACAGCCCCACTTCCCCCTTCTCCTTTAAAAACTCCCTCCCAAATACAGCAAAAATCAGGAGTTATCTGCAGGAAAACACAGGCCCTGAAGCCATTAAAGAATTTTTAAGGGCTCCATTTAGGAAAAGGAATGACAGAAAATGGGTTTGGCATCCCAGGGACCCTGGGTGGGAAGGCCAGGACTGGGTGAAGGTTCACCAGGAGGCCTGAGGGGCCAAAGCTCAGGCAGGTCTGTAGAAATCCTTTCAGAATTACAGGAATCATTTGGAATGAGTTGGAAATGTGTTTTGGGGTGTGGAGATCAGAGAGAATTAAGGAAATACTTTAGAGAACTTTAACTGGAAGATTTAAAGGAGGATGAGAGAACCTTTCCCCCAAGGGATCCTCAAAGTCTCTGTGAGGCTCGTGGGAGGGGTGGCCTGGCTGGGCAAGACCTCGGGGGCTTTCCCCGTACCCAGCTCCCCTGGGAAGCAGCAAATTGGCTGCACAGAGACTTTTTAAGGAAATTACCCCACTCTGCCACACTTCCCGTGTGTCCAGAGCTGATGGGGAGGAGGGTGAAGCCTCCCTGATGGACCCAATTCCCCACCAGCCTCCCCAGTTACCTGCACAGGCCCTCGGATCTCCACCAGAGTCACATCCCGGGGAGCATCTTCCCCCTCCAGCGCTGCTGGGGCTTCATAGAGATCCAGAAGGTTCGGGAAGGAGCCCCCAGCCCCTGGATTTGGTGTCTGCAGCTGCTGAGGGCCGTGGGGAGCTCTCCCTCCATCCCAGGGGACGGGTGGGCTCCAGGTTCTCCTCAGGGTGGGCATTTCCCCCCTCTCCCCCCGGGTGTTGCCGAAATCTGCGGCTCCTGCAGCCCCGGGGCTCGGGGGGAAGCTGCTGACGGCCCGGGGCTGTCCCAGGGGATGAGCAGAACCCTCCAGGTGGGATGTCACAGCTCCGGGCTGCTTTTGGTGGCTCTCAGGTGACCTCTGCCCGTCCCCTGTCACCACATCCTCCGTGCACTGGACAGGCAGCGACACCGGGATGTCTTTGGGGGAGAGAGAGGCAGAGGAGTCACTCCTGGGAACGCTGAGGGGTTTTTTCTTTTTCCATTGCTCCGTTTTCCTCTTGGGCTGGCAGAGCTCACTGTCCCCTCTGGAGCCACCAGAGAAAGGCCACTGAGGACAGCCAGGCAGGGCTGAGGGGCGGGGGACCATCAGCTCCCTCAGGAGATGGGGCATCCCTGTGTCCCAAACTTCAGGCTGGTTTGGGTCCTGGAAGGACACAGGTGGAAAGGAGGGAGCCCCAGGGCAGGGAAGCTGCAGTTTCCCAGCACAGCTTTGTCCAAACCGATCCCTCCTGGCCGCGAAATTCCCTGTTTAGGGTTGGGGAAATGCTGCCAGACCCCGTGGGGGTGCTGTGAGTGTCTGGGGGAGAGAGGGGAGTACGGAGAGGGGGAATCCTTGGCAAACCAGAGGGTTCCTGGGTGTTTTCTGGGCTGTAGCTCCTCCCTCACCCTCTCCAGGTGATGGGCCCAGGACCAGGAGTGTCCCTGAGCAGCGACACCCAAAGCCTCGATGGGCTCAGGGAGGTTCCTGCTCCAAGCCCCTCCACCCCAGCAGAGGAATTTCCTGCGGATAAAAGTGGGAATGACCCAAATGTGCAGTCTGGGGAGGTCCCACTCACCCGGGACCGGTCCTTTCCTGGCCCTCAGCCTCTGCAGGAGCCTCCCCTGCTCCGAGCACAGCTCCTGCAGCCTGGCCACCTCTGCCCAGAGCTGCAGGAACATCTCCTCCATCTCCATCACACCTGGAGCAACCACCTGGCAAGGGCAATAATAATCACATTAATATTCATCCACTGTATTTGTGTTATCCAAGGGCAGGAGGAGCTGCCAGAGCCATCCCTGGATCAGGTGCTGCAGGTACCTCAAGATCCCGGGCGCTGCAGGAGTGTGGGATTGCATAGAGAGAAGCTTTCCCAGTTCTCTCATAATTTAGAACAAAAACAAAATAGAAAATGAAAGAGTTTCTTCCTAAGTGGAGCCGAGCTGGGCTTTTCCACCTCTCCCCCACAGAGAGCTCCAAACAACACAAAAATCCCATTTAGTAAAAAAAACTACCTGGAAAAAGTTGTGTCTCCAACTCAGTATCAAAGGATTAAATTTTTTTGGAGCATGACAGCAAAAAACGCCCAATAAACCCATCCAAGGAATGGATCCCCTTTTTGAGCTGCTCAGCCCCTTCTCCTCCCAAAAATACCCCAGGAAGCACCACCCAGCATCAATTAACCAGAAATTTGCATTATGGAGGAAAATTGCGTTCCCCACATTTGTCCCCTCTTTAACAGCTCTATTATGAGTTAAACGTCCCACTTTTCCCATCTTGCACCAATTATTACCGGGCGAAAAGATAATAAATAAACTCAAAGCTGGGCAAAAATCTGCCAAGGGGATCTGAAAGGTTTGTGCGGTCTTAATTAACATAAATATGCAAATCAGCCTGGCTTCCTGTCAGCTCCTCCAGGTTTGCTGCTGCTCAGAGCTACAAGTTTCAGCTCGGCGTTAAATTTAAACTCTGGCTCGAATTAGGGGTTTGGCTGGAGGGATGGAGCCGCCTCCGACGCTGTGGATTCCCCGGGAGGGATGAAGGGCAGAAATCCCGAAGGAAAACCTCAGAGGCGATGGTAAGGTTTGCTCCCAGCGCAGAAATTGCGGTGGTCCCCCCACACCGAGGGGTAATTTCACCCCAGTTTTGGCTCTTCGGGTTCTTCAGCTCCTGAAAACCTTAAAAGTAAATATTTTTCACTCCCCAAAGCAGCCAACTCCACCTCTAATTCGAGTTTTGTTTTGCCTGAGAGTTGTCTATAGAGACGCCCATTAATTATTAATTGGAGTGTGACACCGAGCCGCCACTCCCTAACGAGCTTGGGAAGATTTTGTTATGGATTTTATTCCTCCCCTGTAAGGGCTTTTCGGGTCTTGACTCCTTCTCATTTCCCCCGGGCTGCTGCCACCAGGACGAAGCTGCAGGAGATTTTTTAGATCCCAAAAAAGCCTCTCCCAAACCGCAATTAAAAGCAGCATTTTGGGAGCACAAAACTCCCGTTTGCGGCTTGGCAGAGCCCGGCGGGGCGAGCGGGGCTGGTTCAGGGCACCCAAAATCCCATCCCCACAACGCAGCCCTGTGCAGACCCCAAAACCCTTCTCTTTTCCCCCAAAAGTGTCTTACCGTGCTGGGGACCCTCCTGGCCCTGCCCGGTGGCCGCGGTGACGCCGAGCTGAGAGCGGCGGGTCCTGAAAGTCGAGCAGCAGCAAATTTGGGGGTGGGAATTTCCCCTTCGGGTTTTGGGCGAAGAGCGAAACCTCCGAGGCAGGAAACGAAAGGGGCGAGAGCGACGGCAGCGAGGCGACCTCGGAAAAGCCCCGGGGAGGGCTCGTGGGGACCCAGGGTTGGCTCCAACCCGTGCCTCAGTTTCCCCTCACACCTTATTCCAGGTGTTTGTGCCCCGGACACCTCATCCGCCGTTAATATTCCAGCTAATATCCCAATAATCCCGATTAATCCTCACTCTACTCTGCCTCAAATCTCCAAAATCCTCCACTCAGCGCCGGAGCCAAAGGAAAATCCCGGGCTGGGTGAAGGATCCCGCCTGGGCCCATCCCCCCGAGGCTTTCCCCATGGCCATCCTGCTTCTCCCAGCACGCCCAGTGTGGCGCTTACTGGTCCCAGTATACCTGGAGCCATGACCTTGGGACCTCCATACATCCCTGAGGCCCCCAGCACGCCCAGTGCCAGTCCCTTACTGGTCCCAGTACACCTGGAGCCGTGACCTTGGGACTCCACACATCCCTGAGGCCCCCAGCACGCCCAGTGCCAGTCCCTTACTGGTCCCAGTACACCTGGAGCCATGACCTTGGGACCTCCATACATCCCTGAGACCCCCAGCACGCCCAGTGCCAGTCCCTTACTGGTCCCAGTACACCTGGAGCCATGACCTTGGGACCTCCATACATCCCTGAGGCCCCCAGCACGCCCAGTGCCAGTCCCTTACTGGTCCCAGCACACCTGGAGCCATGACCTTGGGACCTCCATACATCCCTCAGGCCCCCAGCACGCCCAGTGCCAGTCCCTTACTGGTCCCAGTACACCTGGAGCCGTGACCTTGGGACCTCCATACATCCCTGAGACCCCCAGCACGCCCAGTGCCAGTCCCTTACTGGTCCCCAGTGCACGTGGGGTCCTACCCACGCAGCTCCCAGTGTCCCCAGTGGCAGTCCCTTACTGGTCCCAGTACACCTGGAGCCATGACCTTGGGACCTCCACACATCCCTGAGGCTCCCAGTGTCCCCAGTGGCAGTCCCTTACTGGTCCCAGTACACCTGGAGCCATGACTTTGGGACCTCCATACATCCCTGAGGCCCCCAGCACGCCCAGTGCCAGTCCCTTACTGGTCCCAGTACACCTGGAGCCATGACCTTGAGACCTCCATACATCCCTGAGGCCCCCAGCACGCCCAGTGCCAGTCCCTTACTGGTCCCAGTACACCTGGAGCCATGACCCTGGGACCTCCACACATCCCTGAGGCCCCCAGCACGCCCAGTGCCAGTCCCTTACTGGTCCCCAGTGCACGTGGGGTCCTACCCACGCAGCTCCCAGTGTCCCCAGTGGCAGTCCCTTACTGGTCCCAGTACACCTGGAGCCATGACCCTGGGACCTCCACACATCCCTGAGACCCCCAGCACGCCCAGTGCCAGTCCCTTACTGGTCCCAGTACACCTGGAGCCATGACCTTGGGACCTCCGTACATCCCTGAGACCCCCAGCATGCCCAGTGCCAGTCCCTTACTGGTCCCCAGTGCACGTGGGGTCCTACCCACGCAGCTCCCAGTGTCCCCAGTGGCAGTCCCTTACTGGTCCCAGTACACCTGGAGCCATGACCTTGGGACCTCCACACATCCCTGAGGCTCCCAGCACGCCCAGTGCCAGTCCCTTACTGGTCCCAGCACACCTGGAGCCATGACCTTGGGACATCCATACATCCCTGAGGCTCCCAGCACGCCCAGTGCCAGTCCCTTACTGGTCCCAGTACACCTGGAGCCATGACCTTGGGACCTCCACACATCCCTGAGGCCCCCAGCACGCCCAGTGCCAGTCCCTTACTGGTCCCAGTACCCCTGGAGCCATGACCTTGGGACCTCCACACATCCCTGAGGCCCCCAGCACGCCCAGTGCCAGTCCCTTACTGGTCCCCAGTGCACGTGGGGTCCTACCCACGCAGCTCCCAGTGTCCCCAGTGGCAGTCCCTTACTGGTCCCAGTACAGCACCCCATTCCAGGCGCAGGGCCGGCCGGTGGCTCCGGGACCCGGCGTTGTTCCCGGGCCGGGGTGGCTTTAGGACCCGGCGTTGTTCCCGGGTCAGAGCGGCTTTGGCTCCGCCCGTGCACCTGCCCGGGAGGCGGGACAGGTCGCGCAGGTGACCCCGCCCCACCCGGACGCACCTGCGGCCCCACAGCCGCTGTGGAACCGGTGAGAGGGGAGGGGACGAGCCGGGGGTTCCGCTGCCGAGCCCTCCTCTGCTCTAAGGGGGTCCCGGTGGGCAGCCCTCGCCCCAGGGAAAGGAGGTCCGGTGGTCCCGGGGGTCGTGGTGCGGCGCCCGTCTCTGCGGTAGGGGGGTCTGGGGTCCTGCTTTGGAGTCTTTGCCCCGGGGGAAGAGGTCTGGGGGTCCCGGTGGTCTCGGTGCGGAGCCCCCTACCACAGGGGAGGCAGGAGCTCTCGGTGAGGAGGAGCCTCGGAGCAGGGTGGTCCTGGTGAGGGGTCCTCCTGGGGGTTGGGTGCTCGGGGGTCCCGGCACAGAGGCCCTCCGTGCAAGGGGGACTCAGGTGGTCCTGGGATGGAGCCCGCTGGGGGAGGGGGTCCGGATAGAGCCCCCGGAGCAGCCCAGCGGCTCCAGGGGCTGTGGCAGCTCTGGGCAGGGCACTGGGAGGACCTGGCACCCACCAACCCCACGGGGCACCCCAGGGCCCCCGGCGGGGTAGAGACACTCACACAGCCCGGGAGCGGCTCCAGGACCCCCTGGGCTCATCCCGAGCGATGAGGGCAGCGCCTGGTCGGGGGGAACCCGACAGGATCGTGGTTCCTGTGAGCTCCCAGCCCTCGCACCCCCCAGCACGTCCAGTTCCTCATACTGGAATCGAATCCCTCTGCACCCCGCTTCCCACCCTTGGCTTTTCCCCGTCCCTGCCCCTCCCGATGTCATCGTGGCTCGCTGCCACGTGGAGCCAGCGGCCGCCACACCTGCAGCAGTGTCGCTGTCAATTCACTCGTATTTTATTTGTTTTCCTTCTTTTCCTCCACCAGTGTAGCTCTGTTTCCCCCTCTTCCCTCCCGCATCACGGGGGATACTCCCGAAATTCCCACCGAACCCCTTTCCCCCTTTTCTGACCCCGGTAGGCTCCACTGGGGCATTTTGATGTTGTTTTTCCAGGGTGCAGCGCCAGCCTGGAAAAGGGATTTTCGGGATGGGCTGGAGCAGAATCCACCCGGGAGTTCGCAGGGCAGGGAGCGGAGGGCGCAGGTGCACCAGGAGCTCACGCTGGAGCTCTATGCCAAATCCACCCCAGTTTTTTGAAGGGAAAATTTTTGTTTGTATTTGGCTTTTGGGCTATTTTTTGGGTTGGGACTGAGGAGGGGGTTGGGGTTAGGGCCCCCCCGGGAGCGACAACTCTTGTGCACAACCTGTGCCACTCCCCCTGCACGCCTGAGTGTCCGTCTGGGGTTAATTAGCACCGACACCTAACGAGCTTCACTAGCAACGTGGCAGGAAGGAAGCTCAGAGAGTTGTGGGGTTGATAGAAACTGAGTTTTTCCCCCAAAAATCCGCTGCTTTTCCCTCCTCTTTGTTGTACGTCGGAGCTCAGAGGCACGAGCAGATCTGGGGGCACCTTCGCTCAGCTTTGGGCAGAAATTCCGAGGAAATGGCAGCGAACACGAGGGGATTGATGGTTTTTTTTCCCAATTCTACTTGGGATGGGGCCGGACGCTCTTGGCAGTGAAGCGTGGTCCAGCTTTGATCCCGCGGTGCTCAAAGAGGGACCCCGGGACCCTCCTCCTCCTCCTCCTCCTCCTCCTCCTCCCCAGCCCAAACTTCCTCGCCCTTGAAGTTGTGGCAGGTGCCCTTCCCCGCCCCATTCCCAAGAGAATGAAAAGAAAAGGGGAAAAAGGAATCAAGGGAAGGGGAGGGGGGACCCCGAAGAGGAGGAGGAGATGGCGGTGAATGGATCCCGCCGGGCTCGTCCATGCTCCGGCGGCCGCGGTCACAAAGAGGAGCCGCGGGAAGTTTGGGGGTGGTGGAAAGTTCGGAGCCTCCGACGGATCCCGGGGCAAATTCGGGAGCTGGAGCCGAGCTCCCGGTGGCCGTGGCAGCGGAGCCGGCACCGCTCACAGCCGAGCCCGGAGCGCTGCACGGTCCGCTCGAGTTTCCCTTCGCAGGCAGGAAAAGGCTTTTTTTCCCAGCGGCCGAAAAATTTTCGTCATTTTTTTGTTCTATTTTAACTTCGGCGTTCAAGGGACGGTGGTGGAGGGAGGCTGCAGCCTCCGGATCGGTCCCAGAAGAAATTTTGGGGGGGGTCTCGTGTGTGGTGGTGGCGGGGAGGGCGGGTGGCACATCCTCTGGCATTTATTAACCCGCACTTTTCCTGGTGTTTTAATTTCGCGGTGGATTTAGGGGCTGGAAGTGCTGAGGGGGGGGATGAATTTCACAGGTGTCGCTTGTGCCAAACCATATATTAACATATTGGTAATACTATATTGCCATACTAGTATATTACTAACATTGTATTGCAATATTGATATGTTCATATGTTACTAATATTAATTTAATATGTCAATATATGAATGTATTTTGTTGCTATCGTATTATTATGTTATTATTTGTTATTAATATTATTAACTGGTCTATGGGAGGTTCCCTGCCCGTGGCAGAGGGTTGGGCTGGATGATGTTTAAGGTCCTTAACAAAACTATTCTATGAGTTGATCATATTTATATATTCCTTTTTTGGTATGCTATAATCTCTATGAAATACACTATACCAAATCTTTATTTTGACATCAGGGGGATGCCCCCGGGGCGCATCCAGGCCGGGAATTCACCGTAGGTGTTTCTCCTTCCCTCAGGTCACTGGAGCAAAGCAGAACACCGTGATGCTCCCGGAGCCCCCACACTCCTGAATCCCGCAGCCCAGCCCGAAAACCCTTCAAAAACACCCCAAAACCCCACAATGAGGCTGTTCCGCCGCCGCTACAGCCCCTTGAAGGTGGCCTTGGCGGGCGCCGTCTTCGTCCTCTTCCTCTTCATCCTCCAGAAGGACGCGGGGAGCAAAGAGCCGGGCGAGGAGCCGTGGCTGCGGAACATCGTGCAGGGCAAGGACCAGGTGCTGGACCTGATGCTGGGCGCCGTGCGGGACCTGCGGGACTCGATGCCGCGGCTGCAGATCGGGGCCCCGGAGCCGCCACCGGAGCCGCTGCCCAGCGGCCGCTCCTGCCTGCCCGGTGTCTACACCGCGGCCGAGCTGCGGCCGCTGATGGAGAGACCCCCCCAGGACCCCGCCAGCCCCGGAGCCGATGGAAAAGCCTTCAAGAAGGATCGCTGGACGGCCGAGGAGACGAAGGAGAAGGAGCGAGGCTATGAGAAGCATTGCTTCAACGCCTTCGCCAGCGACCGCATCTCCCTGCAGCGTGCGCTGGGCCCCGACAGCCGCCCCCCCGAGTGAGCGCCGCGCCCGAACCCCTTTAAAATGTCCATTT